GCCAGTATGACAATCAATTCTCGACGACTCGTCCATTTGTTTCAGTGATAAATTAATAATATGCAAGGGAATCACACCAGCCGTTAGCTTAGAGGAAGCTATCGATAACTTTGTCAGCGCGTGGTTACTGTTGGAATTTGCTACCATTTGGGCTAAGTCTTCAGAGCCCTCGCTTCTCACTGAGAGTAAATACGGAGATTTTTGACTTTTAACCTTAAAATAATTTTGTACGGTCAAAAATAGTTTAGAAAACGAGAGTAAAAAGGAATTAAAGACAATAAAAACCGAAACTAAAGGCATGAAATTCACAGGGTCTAGCCACAGTGAAATAAGATTTTTGCAATTCGTTAAAGCAGTACTGCGGTGACATGCTTAATCAGTTACGGAGTTCTCACGAAAAGCCAACAAAAAGCAAGGAGGCTTCATTTACACCTTCGCAGGATTGTATGCAAACGCATCTCCGTAGCCGAAGTGCCTCGGAGCTCTCGAGAAAATCGGCAACATTTAAGAAATTCATCATTCAAATTATAGAGAAATTTTGTGTGTTTGAATATGTATGCTGGCAGTTATCAGGGAAAACTAAGAATCGAGAAGAAGCTGAAGATGATCAACTCGATCTTAACTCAATCCAGATTACTTATTGGCAGTTCACTCTTGAAAATATGACTCACATTTGTGCATATAAAGAGGAAGACGTATTTGGCTCACTCTTGCAGAACTTGGAAAAAGAGACCGCTAAGGGCTATAATCGGTGCAGATAAGAACCTGACGGCATCCGGATGTATGTTGCAGTTCTGTACGACCCGTTCGATCGCGAACCGAATTTGCTCATCGAACAGACGAGCTACCGATTCGGAGGAGTCGATTACGAGTATCAAGTCGAGCGGCTTGTCCGAACCGCGTACACATACTGAAATCCCGACATCAAACACTGTCGTCTATTGATATTAATTTTTGATTCAGAATCGTGCTCTCGCGGAGCATATGAAGTTATGGAAGTTTGTTTCTTCCCAATCGACCTTTACCAAAACCCGTATGACAATGGAAGTATATGACAGTGGAATATGAAGTCATATAATGTCAGTTTATCAGCGTACCGGGCAATTTCTCGCAAACTTCTGTGCCTTTCCAGCGATCAAACAATGGTTCCAAATCTTCTAGGTTTTGATTTGTGATAATTTTTGCTGGGTCCTGCAAATGAGGTCGTCAGATGATCATTATTTTCCTTATCACTTGTGAATAAACAACCTGTGTTATCGCTATTTCAGCATTCCAACAAATGTCATTTTATGACTATTTAACGACTCATTACAGCTTAGTACTTCAACACTTTCACATTCTCTTCCTACTCCTCCCATCTGCACCTCTGCATTTGATCACCCAGTCGTGCTGAGGAAGGCATGCA